AGTTAATACAACCGTCACAGTTTAGTTTTAAATTATAAAATGTTAATCTATGTATTTATTAGTACTAAATAAATAAATAAATAAAAATGCCTTCCTCTGGCAGAGTTGTTCTCACCCAAGGGAGATTTTTGCCCCCAGGGACATTAGCAATGTCTAGGGAGTGGGGGTGCTTCTGGCATCTAATAGTGGAGGCCAGAGGTGCTGCTACATATCCTGCAAGGCAAAGGATGACCTCTGTCACCTCTGATGGGTTACCCAGCACCGAATGGCAATAGTGTTGAAGCTGAGAAATGGTCTCCTCCATGTTACATTTTAAATTTTCTCCCAGTTTAATTCAAGAAGGAAAATGTTGACCTCTACATAGAAAGACCTGAGTGATGAAGGAAAAAGTTTATGAAGAGGCAGGGACCACCACTAACCTGGTGGGCAGGTCCTACACAATCAACTTAGGCAGCTAGCCCATCAATACACAAGTGGATAAAAAAAAAAAAAGTGCTGATATATATATACAATGGAAAATTACTTGGCCATAAAAAAGGATGAAATCTTACCATTTGTGACAGCATGGATGGAACTAGAGGGTATTATGCTATTGGAAATAAGTCAGTCAGAGAAAGACAAATGCCATATGATTTCACTTATATGCAGAATCTAAAGAACAATATAAATGCACAGACAAAACAGAAATAGGCTCATAGATACAGAGAACAGACTGATGGTTGCCAGAGAGGAGGGGGATTAGGGGACAACGTGAAAAAGGTAAAGTGATAAAGAAGTACAAATTGGAAGTTACACAATAGTCACAGGGATGTAAAGCACAGCATAGGGAATATAGTTAATAATATTTTAATAACTATGTGCGGTGCCAGATGGGTACTGGAAATATCGGGGGAACACTATGTGAAGTATATGATTGTCTAACCACTATGCTATATGCCTGAAACAAATACAAAATAATATTGAATGTATACTGTAATTGAAAAAAGGCAAAAAAAAAAAAAGAGAATATTATGCCTCTATGATCAAAGTCACAATCAGTCTTTCAAGAATTTAAAGTAACAGAAAAATAATGGTGAATATTTCTTATGAAACTGAGTTTCCTGACCATATCTGGTCAATGTTTTCTGGAAGCCAACTAACCATGGTTTCAAATGAAGTAAAACATATTAATTTATAATCCTAAGTACAGCATCTGCTGTCCAAATGAGTGGGTTTATGGCCAGAAGGCATTCCACACATTTAGTACTATAATCCTATCCCATCCCATTGTTAGCCACTTAACTTGTCTTCAAAATTCTTTTCAACTTGCCTATCTTCAAAAGAATTTGAAGTTACCTTAGTCATTCTGGAATATAGGTCATTCAGAGTGCTTACTAAGTGCTGAGTCCAATCCAGCTATGGGGACCACAGATACTCCCAAATTCAAACTCTACCCAGCTTTGCATCAGCACATGCTTATAGTGAATCACTTATGCAACTCCATAGGAGGAAGAGAGTTCAGCTAATAGAAGCTAAAGATTTCATTTAAGAACATGCATTTCAACTTCAAAAATGGGACAGAGTCACAATGTATCTTTTTCTTAATAATGTTGAGGTCTAAACAAAATAAATTTCCAGTCATCATTTTAAAAACAAACATGTTTTCAGAGATTTGAGTTGATATTTTAATATTATGTTGATGATCTTGCAGAGAAATGTTTAAAATAGAAACAAAACACCCCAAAGAAAAAAGGAAACCCACACTTCATTGATTTGAATATGTTTTAAATTATAGGGTAAAATCACCAACTTCTAACCCCCAGCCAAAATGATTAAGTAGATCCAGATGTCAGATATAAAGCCAAATGTTTACATCACATCTTAAAAACAATCATTATTTAATCCTGCAAAGGTATGGGGTGCTCAGATGGTTTAAGTTATCAAGGAGAAAGAGATGCTAGCTTTCTATAAAAATGCAGTGAGACAAATGCCCACGAGCTGAATTTATGTTGATTCTCCCTAAAAGCTTAATGTTTTCGACTCACTGAGGCAGATTTTCTCAGTATCTACCCTTTCGCCTGGCATAAAGGCCTCACATGACAGTCTATAATGCTTTGGTGGCAAAAGAATAATTTTTTAAAAAAGAATATACCACCGATACTAAGTTTGAGTTAATATTATCTCTGATCTAATTCTGAACTCATTACTTAACAAGACCCTCTTTATAACATGTGGAGCTCCCTGACCCTATCATTTGGACTTTTCTCCAATATGGGTGCCATCTGTCTGCAACATCTGTTATTCCACTGATCGCCAAAGTCAATTTGGATGATCTGCCTAGTTTTGTTCTCTCTCAGATATTTCTGACTACCTATCTCGCTTCTCACCCAAAGAGATGTACTGGGTCTACATGGGCAAAATTATGGAAACCATATTTCCCAGGCCCAACATTAGAATATTCATAGTGTGACAAGTCTGACTATACTTCAGCATACAAAAGGCATAATATTGACCTTTCTGAAGTATCTAGAATGGGTGGTATCAGCCTGAAGAAGACGAGTAGACATGAAACACTCATGTTTTCCTACCACTTTCAAGTACAGATTATTCTGTCAGCAAGCTTTTATTATATTTTAATGAGTGACTGAGAATTTAAAAGGTATTTGTAATTCACAAGACTTTTAAAACATTTTTTTTAATACTCAAATTGCTGCCTCATTTATGTTTTTAAAAATCTCTTTCTACGAGCACATAGATTAGCGTTCTCAGTTGCAGTCACCATTTTTAGTCACTGGAAACCATAGAGAATCCCTGGAGCCTGGGCACTGAAGGAGTCAGATGGAGAGTGGGGCACAAGGTGGCAACACTAGTCCTCTGGTTTGGGGCTGCTTCTGGAACCCTATCTGAAAGCTTTCATCCACTAAGAGCCTGCCTTGGAGCCCATCTTCCTTTGCCTTTGACTGACCATGGTGATGGATCTCCTCAGGGAGCCACAGGAAGCGGGGGACGCATGGACAGCATCACCTCCTGTAGTCAGCAGCCCTCTGGCCTGACCCACAGGCCTGTGATCCTAAAGCCAAGGCTCCCAGGGACCACAGTGTTCAGTCCATCTCTAAAAATGCAGGATGGGATAAGGGAGATGCCGCACCACTTCAGAGGCTAACCCCATGCTAGATGAGCAGGACCAAACAATCTGTCAGGGCTCAGGAGTCCAGATAAGGGTGGCTCCAGAGAGTCTGCTTTGCTTCTACCAGGGAGCAATTAGCATCCTTACAATAACCGTCAATGCGATAGATAGGCAAGATTTCTGGGAGAAATATATTTCTAAGAAAGGAGACTATGAAAATGTTTCCAAAATAGGTTGCTTTTAGCATGAATTCTCTTTTTTATACCTCTTGGTAACTTTTAAGTGTACAAACAGTCATACTTCAATATTTATTTCATTAACCAACATCACTGAAGCAGGAGTTACGTGAAATTGAACCAGAATTCAGTGCCTTAGAAAAAAACTCACATGAGAGTTGTATACGCTTCTTCCTGAAGTTTTGGAAGTTGCTCCCACTCTCAATCTATCCACCTGCAGGTTGACATACCATGACTCAAGGAGCAGGCATCTGAATCTGAGATGTGCAGAAATAAATATGATTCCTCACTGTCCCTTCTCAAAGCAGCAGCAGTAATCACCTCCAGGACCCAATAGCTCTTGCTAGAGATGGCTGCCTGGGTACACAATTAGCTATAAACCTTCCCGCCTAGGGGCCATGGGAAAAGGAAATAGCAGGAAGATGGAGGTTGTTATTTTGCCCCTTGAGGAATGAAGTATGAGACCTGTGGGATCAGGAAGATCAGCTTCAGAGCTTAATTCCCAGACCCAAGAAGATAAGTACTTCCCCGCATCTTCAGAGGCAAAGACCTCTGCTAGCTTAGTACAAGCAGGCCTGCATATCTTGGGCTAGTAAACTGGTTGGTATTTGAACCCACATTGTTGGTGATTGGCAAATCCAAACTAAACACACTTTTTATCATTCACATGAACTACGATTTATAGCCAAGCTGAGGAACATTTTTTTTTTTTTTTTTTTACTTTACTGGAAACAAAAGGGTTCTGAAGCTGTTTTGGAAATATATATGTCTTAGCATCCAAAATCATCAAATAGAAAATGCATTTGTGACTTCAAGCAGATGGAGACACCCCCAGCCCACCCACCTACTGATGTTGCTTCATTGGGAAGACGTGTAACATGACAGGAGTTCCAAATTGCCACCCTCAGTTGAAAGGGTCTCAAAGCTGAGTTCACAAGGGAAAAATGAAAATCTTTGCAAGTTATTGTCTGTTCTGTGTGCCCAATGGGGGGAAATGGAAAATGAGGACTCGGCCTGCATTCCTCTTCCACCTCCATCTGTCTGTCTTTTTATTGGTTGATGGGACATGTCACCATAGCATCTAGGCTCTCAGCAGCATGGAGTAGATGAACTTGTTTATAAAGACCTAAAAGGCCAGCCTGTCCCCGGCTTCATCTCTGATCTGCTGTGGAAGAATGGTTCCATTCTCTGTAACTAACAAACAACAGAAATGATGTACAGGTAAACAAGAGATGAGCAGTAAGCCTTTTTGTTCAGGATAATCATCTAAGACTACGCATCAGACACACAGGGGACCTCCAGCATTTGTGCATTCTTTTGACATCACAAGTTCAAATGTGTTTTTCTTTTTCTTTAAACTTTTCATTTTGAGACAATTGTTGAAATAACACAGAAAGATCCCTGTACCACCTACCCAGTCTTCCCTAATTAACATTTTGCAGGACATTATTATGATATCAACAATCATATTGACATTAACATAATCCACTAACATGTGTTATGCTTTGAAAATCAATTTAACCCTTTGAAAAAGCAGCAAATCCATAAAATGCCTCAGGTTTAACAGTCTTCCGATGATGTTTTGTGTATTTATGACTGACTTGTTTGACTGTTAACCCATGAAGCATCGGGTTCCTTGAATGGGTCAAAGTCCTCTCTCACTGACAGCACTTACTGTAGAGGAAGAACTTCTTCGCATTTTGTTTCAGCTTAGGATTTCCTAAAATTAAGATAACAGAGTGTACAGAGGGGTATGAACCAAACAGCAAGATGCAGAACAGAGTGATGGAGTTTTTGATCTTGAAAATTTCAGAAAAACCTAATGCAGCCATCATGTACTGGGAGAGGTAGAGGATCAGGAAGGACAGGATGGATAGGAGTGCGCTGATGTAGACACTCATGCCAGGGTTCCTGGTGCCCATCTCAGTGCTCCTCATCTGCTGGGTGTGCCTCCCCAGGGAAAATATCAAGAGAAGAGCAGAGATAAGGAAGATAAATAAAGGCAATATGAACTCAATTAAAAGAAGGGCAAATTGTAATGCAGATATGTCTTCAATTTGAGTTGTTGCATTTTGGGAGAAAAAGCCCAACCAGGATATTTGGGAAATAATCCATGCATGATTTCTGTGGAAGACAGAAGTGAGAAAGGAATATGTCAAGGTCCCACAAATCAGCCACGGCACCAACTTGGAGATCCTCAACTTCAACCAAAAGAAGAGCGGGTTAGCGATGTTGGCGATCTTGGCACAGTAGAAAACGCTGAGCCACGTGGCCAACCAAACTTCCGATGCATGTACATACATGAAAATTGTAATATTCTCAGGAACTGGAGAGAATTCAATCAAGGAAAGAACAGCCAGATTAATGAAGATCATGACCATCTGGAGACCAATCCTGAAAGTCGCCAGGCAGCACAGGAGGAGGTCGAAGGGCACCATCTTTCTCCGTCTGATCAAGTCTGTGCCATTGACAACCACAATGAAGCCATTGGCTAGAACCCCCACAAGAAACTGAATCACTGAAAAAATAAGATGGGCAATAATGTACAACTTTAACATTTTGACAAGAAAAAAAATCAGTTACTTTAAAAACTGATGTAGTTATAGATTTTGGGACAGTTGGAATCCGTGAAGTTTTCTATTTTTCTTCAGCTAAATTAGAACCCCTTTGGGGGACATGACACTGACGAGGAAGGCAGTGAGGCAGGAAGGCAGCGTGCATGTGTTTATAGCTGTTTTCTCAAGGCAGTCAAATAAGAAAAAGATACTCCAGCAACTATTTGCTTCTTCGTGACAGCTTTTGCATTTTCCAGGTCTACTTAGCTTTCAACATCATCATCACAAGCAAATGGTGGAAATGAGACACCTTCATGGCTGGGAGAAGGGCTCCTCTGTTACATAATCAGCGAAAGTTCCTCAATCCTTCATCGGTCCCATAAATATTTAATTGTGCCTACAGATTCTACTTATGTCTGTGAAGCATTCTTTAAAAAAAATAGGATTTTTTTTTAAAATTACCACTTCTGTTATCATGATGCAGTACACTCAGCAACATAAGTCTCCTAAGTAGTTGTTCTCTAATAGGCAATGGTGGAGCAATTCAGGACCACCTAAAACTGAAACCAGTTCTATAATACAACATACGTGACCATCAAAAAGCATCACAAATATGCGTAGTTGAAAGGCCAAAGGCCGAAAGGAAGGTGATTTGCAGCAAAGAGAATCACTCAGCACCATTAATACTAGCAATCATCTGCAGGATAATGCACGGGTTGAAATATTTCCCTGCTTATTTTTTCAAAACTATGAGTCTATAATGATATGAGCTTGTTGTTCCAGGGGAAAAATAATGATAAAAGATACATGATGCAATGTGTTGTTATAACTAACAGGATATCTTGGGGGAATTAAATTAGCATTTATTAACTTGTATACTATGCCAGGTCTTCTTATGTTAAACCAGGTTTTTTCAGCCTCGACACTGTTATTTGGGTTGGGTAATTCTCTGTTAGCTGACCTGTGCAATGTAGGATATCTACCAGCATCCCTGGCATCTACCTGCTAGATGCTCATAGTATAACCCCCTCCCCAGGTGTGACAACCAAAAATGTTTCCAGACATTGCCGAATGTTCCCTGAGTGGCAAAATCACCCCCAGTTAAGCATCACTGTCCTAAACACTGAGGGGGGAGGGGGGAGAGTGGTGAATAGAACACAGTTTCTGTTCTCCAGGCAATTAGAGCTTAAATGTACAGCAAACATGTGAATAGTGTATAGTGTGACATCAAACTAAATTAGTTATTTGGACAATTCACCACCAGAGCACAAAGTGGGAAAGAATTTATTAAATGTTGGGGGAATTGAAGCTTTGACAACTTAGCACTAGATCATAACATTTCCAGAAGATCCCCTAAGGGGGCATATAGATATGTACTACTTTGTCCAGAGGTGTCATAAAGTATAATTACGAGGACTCTTACCTTTAGAAATCTGGAAGGAAAATGGTATGAAAACATGAATGGAGAATTACTCTGTTATTCTTCTCTGAATACATGATGTCAGTGCACTGTGGGACTCCACTTCGCTCTTCCTGTCACAGCTTCAATGGGTTGAAGGGAACAAGTGGGCAGGCACCAAGGGAGGCAGCTCATGAGTGGATTCCACCCAAAAGGTCCAGAGTCAAGCATGACAATCAGGATAACCATTGTTCTTTTCACTCCGGTGGAGATAAAAAATACCCAAAATCTTTCAGTATATTTACATTCTGCAGGCTGGAAAAGCAAAAATGGAAGGGCATCCACCTATGAAATAACGAAGTCAAGAACTCTCAGAAGAGCAGTGACTACTAACTTCCTCGGCTTTGCAATCAAGCCTCCATCAGTGCCTGTCGCTTTGCTGGCAAGTGCTGGTGACCAGCCTGTGCCCTGCGAGGCTCAGCCCTACCAAGGCATACCTACGCTTTCTTCTCATCCCCAGCACTCATTCATTCTTTTGGTGTTTGGCTTATGGTGGTATTTGTTGGTTAGAACCAAACTTAATTAAATAAGCGTTTTCAAAACAAAGGAAAAGAGAAATAAATATTACAAATTCACTTTGAAATAGAGCTTTTGCTTTCTATCTTTCTGTTCCCAGAGACATCACATCATAAGACCAGTCTCTCTAGCTCTTACCTGTTGCCCCAATGTTGCCAAGACCTTTACTTTCCAAGTCCTTCAGCATGGTCTGGGCATTTCAATAGCAATAATAATAATAATGGTAAAACTAAGGCAGAAAAGTGAAAAAATATTTTCTATTTTGAGTCGAGAATAGTGACATAGTCTTTCTGTACTGACAGCAAACGAGCAAAGATAACGCCTAGTACACCAAAGAATTAAAGGAAATTACCATGTCCAGTTCTATTTATTAACATGCTGCTTGTCTTTTGGATTCAAGCATCTTGAGAGGATATTTGGTTCTCAAATATTCTATTGTAAGTTTTGTTAGCACTAGCTTGGGGAGTAGGGGCAATTCTTCATAGAGAACTTGGTTTCACAGAGAACAGCTCTTCTGACGCAGAAATCCCATGGAGCAAAAAATAAAAATTCATGAGGCTGAAGCTACAATTTTTTCATTAAACAATTTCCATCACTAATCCCTTCAGTGAGCACATGCACAAAGGCTGCCGAAGGCACACCATTCCTGGACAAGTGCCACCAACTCGCCGGAGACTTGTATTTCCTGCACTGAAGGGTGGCGGGATAAGAGGTGTCTGGCCGTAGCAGCGGAGCACTTGTGTGGCTGCTACACTAATGTCCCGTTCAGACCCCAGGGGCAGTTGCATTTCAGTGCTGGTGCAAAGCCCTTCAGGGTCATGTTATCCAGGCTGCCCCTTAGATTCTACCACATCAATCAAAATACCCAGGAGCCTCCATCATGCTGTGCTGAGCGAGAGCTAGCTAAATATTTTTCAACAAACCAAACAGAGAAAAACGGTCCTAAATAGAAAAGCCCTTTGCGTCTTTTAAGCAGTTGGTTTTAGCGAGAGGGACGCATCAGAGAATTTCTGGCTCTGAGATGCAAAGCATATATGTCTGGCCTCATCTGTCAGTCATCCGCTCAGAATGATGACAGTTTTACATGGACAAATGGCTTGGAACAGATGGAACAAGTCCCGATGTGGAGAAATTCACATGACGATTACCCCATATTACCCTGATTAAATCTGCTTACTCACACTCATCTGTAATGAGCAGCCATTAAGAGAGACAATACTGCATATTCTTGAGGTAACTGACAGGCAAAAAGAGTTGCTTATTTATATTCAGATCATTCAGCCCCTCAAAAGAAAGTGCATTTTCCCCCCCGACAGGCAGTTAGACTGACATTGGCAAGCTTTTCACCAGGTAGAATGTTATAATAATTGTCTGTCTGCACACGGACCTTTACTTTGGGGTTAGAGGCACCATGAAAGTGAGCGATAGTGTTAATACCTTTCCCAAGTTTTAATACCTTTCCCAAGTTTTAATACCTTTCCCAAGTGAGTCTTCCCACTTCATTATCAAGGGAACAATTCCTGCTTTAAGGAACATGCCATGTAGTAACATTATTGTATAATTAATAGGTCGTTCAAATGAGAGAGATATACACCCTGGGCTAGCCAGCACAGACACCCTTGCCGCCTCGACCCTGGAGCACAGCTCAGCCCTTGTTAAAGCTTTGTGGAATTCATTCCATCTAAAATTCACAACATTTTGGTTAAAAAGCTCCAGACTCTTTCAGACTAATCATTCTTCACATCCATTCATTCGCTTCTCTCCTCTTGAATATGCAGTTGATCTTTTGTACTGAAATTTTTGCCTTGAATGTTCAGGTCACTCCCCTCCACTTGTCCCTCCACCTCCTCTTTTTATCTTAGTCATACATTTCTGTGCTTTTCTTTACTCTCACAATATTCTGAAATGTATTTGCATTACAGCAAATAGAATAATAGGGCATGAATTTAAGTCTTTCACATAAAGAACTCGAAGTACTTTGTGAACAAGCATCCCATGTTAATTACAGTGAGGGAGGGGAACCAGGGATGGTGCCCTTGGCTCACTTGATTAATATCCAGTCCCCACGATTTTGTCTTCAGCTCCAAACTGAGTGGTGGGATTACAGATCCTTCTTTTCTTCCTCTCTCTCTCACTTCCCTCCATCCCCCTCCCCCTTCCTTCCCTTCCAGATTATTCCTTCTCTCCCCTCATTTCTTCCTTCCTTTCTCTTTACTTTCCTTCTCCCTTCCTCCTTCTCTCCATACTTTAGCACATATTTATTGTGTGTATTATGGACTATGAACTAGACACTATTTTAAGCATGGAGCATATAGGAACGAACAAGACAAAGCCTCTCTCATCTTGGAAATTATATTTTAGTGGGGAAGATGAGAATTAAACAAGTAAAGAAATAAATACCTCTAGGTAACCTAGAGCAAGGTGCTATTTTAGAGAGTGTGGCCGGGTAGACAGAATCCTCAGAGAGAAGGGGATCATTGAAAAGAGAAAAGGATGAGAAGGAACTATCTCTGGAGGTCTAGGGGATGAGCACTCCAAGTGGAGGGCAGGAGAGAGCAATGCCCCCGTGAATCATAAAAAGAGCTTGAAGTGTTCCAGAATAGCCAAGGGCCAAGTATTGCAATGCCAGGGCAGCATGAGCAAGGGGAAGTACCCGAGGAGAGGAGAATAGAGGGGCAGGTGTGGTGTGGTCAGATTGGGGGTGGGGGATTTATTCTGGGGAACAGAATTGGGGGGTCAGAAAAGGGCATGAGTAGAAGCAGAAGGACCAATTTGAAGGCTGTGCAGGAGACTAGGCAGCGGAAGCTGTTGGCTTAAAACAGGTTGGTGGTAGAGAGTGGAAAGAAGTGTCTGGATTCGGTATCTATTTTGAAGGTAGAACCAACGAGGATTTCAGAATGGCTTTGATGCGGGGTGGCGGGGGGGGTGGGGGTGATGGAAAGAGAGAAGCCAAGTATTACTTTTGGGTCATCAGCATTATCTACTGTGAGTCAGTGCCATTTTTCAAGAAGGGGAAGCCTGGAGGAAG